TGTGGATGTGATCTCTTATAAGGAAGAGGAGGGGTCCCTCTCACTCTCTTGTGGGGTGGGAGCAGAAGCAAGCTTGAGCTGCTGTTCACATCTCCCCGGGGCAGATCGGCACAGCTGGACCCATCGTGACTTCAATCTTGTCCTGTATTTTGCGAGTCTGTATTTCTCTTTTGAATCACCATAATAAAGACTTTTATAAATTCTCTTTTCACACAGGGTCTCACCAAGTTGCTCAGAGTGGTATCTTGTAACTTGCTCTGTAGCCCAGGCATGCCTCTTTGACCGTTCATTCCTCTCTCCAGTAGCTTCCTGAGCCTCTGGGGCTATATATCTGTACCGCCACACCACAGCCCAGCTGTTAAAGTCCTTTGCGATAATTAGCTGGCTCACTTTAAGCCTTGTTTTCCAGGACTGTAAAAACCAATCAACCAGCAAACTCAATCCCCCAAATCCAGTTGAGTCTTTGAATAATTGAATGCACAAATCCCTGTGTGGCTTCTGTACCCGAGTTCATAGCACTGGGCCTTTTAACTCAGTGTTCTAAGAACCGGTTGGCTGACGTTGGGTGTTTTCTGACGGCTTGGGCACCGTGGGTGACACCTGGAGCTGCCTCAGTCTGATCGGCCACCTCTTCTGAGCTGCAGAAACCGCATCTGTTGGTCAGTCAGTCAGAAACAGTGTGTGCATCCTTTCCAAGGAGAAATAGCAAATGTTCTAGCACGAGAGGTCTTCTCGCATATATATCTTGTTTGTATTTTTGGCTTTTGTATTAATGACTCTGCCTACTGGGCATCTATTCAGTGAGACTTGTTAGGACATTATTATTGGGAATGGAAAGAATAATGTTTACGTTTTTTTCCCTGACCTTTAAGAAGTACCATAGCCTGTCCTTCTGGATGGGTGAAATGGAAGGATTTCGGTGACAAGACTGGAGGGACATTACTTTGAAACTCAGGTATACCGCTTGAAGCCAAGTGAGAAAACGCAGAAAGTGGAACAAAGATGTTCTCAAGAGCTTCATCTTTAAGTCAAGTGACCCTGAGGATCTCTCTAGAGTTAGCACAGAGAAATCTTAGATGAGGAGCCTGGATTCACTTAAAGTACTGTCTGGCTGGCAGCCTTCACCCAGCCGTGGAGTGGTGTTTGAAATAGCAGGGCTGAGAGTCCTCTTCAATTGACAGTTTGCTCTTCTGTCCTTGATCTCTCGCTTTGAAAGCATTCTCCAACAGAGTCTTTTTGAGGCATTCTTCAAGAGCTTATGAGCTGAAAGATAAAGGAGGAAAAGTATGTTTTTGTAACCCCAGTCCAAAAGAATAGAGAGTCTAAAATTCCAAGGAAAAGCTCCTATTTTTCATAATGTATGAATTTCTATCTTAGCATAGGATTACATTATATATGTATATTATCAATTAAACATTACACATTCTCAATGTTCGATTCAGTGATATTTGTTTTTTATTGAAAATAGATGTTTTCAGCTAACATATTCTGATTATGGTTTGCTGTCCCCCAACTCCTCCCAGATCCTCCCCACTTCCCCACCCATCAAATCCACAATTCTCTCACTAGAATACAAAACAGGCATCTAAAATAGTAATATTAAATGATAATAATAATAAAATAAAAACAAACAAACCAGAACAGGACAAAACAAACAAGCAGGAAAAAAAAGCCCAAACAAAAATCACAAGAAACACATACAGACTCAGAGACACACATATTTGCTCACACAGAAAATCTATAAAAGTAAAATAGGAAATTATAATATAGAGACCTAAAAAAGGTTTATAAGGTTAAAAACAAAATGCCCGGCTGGGTGGTGGTGGTACACGCCTTTAATCCCAGCACGTGGGAGGCAGAGGCAGGTGGATCTCTGTGAGTCTGAGGACAGCTTAGTCTACAGAATGAGTTCCAGGACAGACAAAGTTACACAGAGAAACCCTGCCTCGAAACAAACAAACACAAAGCAAAAACAAAACCACAACAAAAGTGCAGACAAAGCATTGAGAGACAAAACCTCCCAAAATTCTACTGAGTTCAGTTTGTTTGGGGCATGTGCTGCCAGCCCTGGGCAGCAGTCTGTGATTTGTGTGCCCAGTAAGACTTCTGTGGTAAAAGGCTCAGTGCCATTGGAGGAATGTTGTGGCAGAGAGAGCTGTTATAAAGACAATAGTCAGGATCTACTGGTTTTCTCCGTGTATCCCCGGCTGTCCTGGAACTCACTCTGTGGACCAGGCTGGCCTCCAACTCAGAGATCTGCCTGACTGTGCCTCCAGAGTGCTGGGATTAAAGCTGTGCCCTTCTGCAGCAGCCCAGTGTTCTTTTCTGCCCATTTACATCCCGGTTGGGTGCATTTTTCACCATGTGAGACTTTAAACAACATTATGAGCACCCTGTGTAGCCTCTTGATTTTAAATTTACTCCATCTGACAAAAACTGGATCCTTCCTTCCTTTCTTCCTTCCTTCCTTCCTTTTTCTGATAAAACTCTCTGGATTTGAGGTTGATTACCTTGGGCATGTTAAGGTGCTGTGAGGTAGGGAGACATGTTTCTGACTGAAAGCTTCTGCCACGCGCTGCACAGGGCTTGTGGTGTCTTAACAAAGAATCTCCAGCCTTACCTTGTGGCTCTTTCTCAGGCAGGACATCCTGGAGAAGAGTCCAGTTTTGCTTTTCTGACCTAGTGGTGTGCACCCTTAATCCCAGCACTAGAGAGGAATATAAGAGGACACAGCTCTCACTCACAGCCCCATTCTGAGACTCCTGGAGGCTGGATCGCCATTTTGTACTGAGGTAGAGGTACGAGTCAGTGGCTGGCTGTTTTGCATTCTGACCTTCAGGTTGAACCCCAGTTTTTATCTCTGGGTTTTTATTAATCAAGCTTCAGTCCAGACTTATTTTACAGTTTTATAAATTTTGATACTTCCTTTTTATTTCTTTGAAGTTCTGCCTGTAGAGTCCCCCCCGTCCAGGATGCAGCTATACCATCGGGCATGGTTACCATTCTTCTTGACATCTAAAGGTATAGAAGCTCAGTGTGTGTGCTTCGTATGTGGGCAGTGGCTAGAGGAGAGAGTTTACCTCATATTTCATAACGACACAAAGCATCATGATGATTCTACAGCTTGTTACAACAATTTTCTTACTTTTTGTCCCAGTTGGCTTTCTGTTGTTGGGATAAAACACCATGGCCAGAAAGCAACTTGGGGAGGTAAAGGATTATTTCAGTTTACAGCTTATAGTCCATTGTGGGGGGAAGAGAGGGCAGGACTTTGAGACAGGAACCGAACCAAAGGCTGTGAAGGAATGCTGCTTACTGGCTTGCTCTCTGGCTCGTATTCAGCTACCTTTCTTATAGATCCCAGGACTTTCCCAGGGGTGGCACCTCCCACAGTGGACTGGGCTCTTCCACATGAATCATTATTCAAGAAAATACATTGCCCCCATCCCATAATCCATGCTTGCTTACAGGCCAATATAGTGGAGGCATCTTTTCCATTAAGGTTCCTCCTGATGATTGACCCTAGTTTGTGCCAAGTTGACAAGAGGAACAAACACTTCCAAACAGTACTGATGAGGACTCCGACACAACTGAGGCGCCTTCCTGGCCCCTGGATTAGGCACAAACCACACCCAAACTCCTGTTTGCATAGAAAGATTCTTTATTCATCAGGGAAGAAAAGTTAAAGAGGCTGCTTTCTGACTCAGGCACCTTTTTCAGCGTTTGGGCACCACATTGTCCCAAGGCCAGTGCCACAGTGGTCTTGTTAATAACAACAACAACAACAACACAACAACAACAACACAACAACAACAACAACAACAACACAGACTACTTTAAACTGGCAGTGTATGCCTTTAATCCCAGCACCAGGAGGCAGAGGCCAGCCTGCTCTACCAGGTGAGTTTGAGTTCCAGGCCAGCCTGGTCTACAGAGGAATTTCCAGGACAGCCAGGAGAAACTTTGTCTCCAAAAACAAAACTTCAGATGCCTTTTTTTTTCTTTCTTTCTTTCTTTCTTTCTTTCTTTCTTTCTTTCTTTCTTCTTTCTTTCTTTCTTTTTTTTTTTTTTTTTTGCAATTAGTCTTGCTGTGTAATATATCTGTTAGGATCTGAATGAATAGACTGATAGTTTGAAGTGGTCGCCCCTACCTTTTCATAAGGGTTTGAATCTCAATAGTCACCAAGATGTCCCAGCTCCCAACACCTTGGCACCAGGAGTGTACGGGCATCTAAAACACTGAGCCCATAGCAAACCCCTGCTGGGTGCATTGGCTTAATTTAGTTGAAAGTTGACTTTGTGTTTCAGTCCTTCGAGAGCGAGGGCAGTTTCCTGAGACTTAAAAGTGTTAGATTTCAAATCTGACACTTAAAGAGGTTAAGGTGTCTCTTTAACACATCAGAAAGGACCTGGCAGTCAATCCCTCTGTCCCTACGCTAAACTTCTCTAGCCCAGGGGGCTGGGTTGCCCTTCCCAATAAAATCCAAACATTTAGGTGGCCGCTCTCTTTGTACCTTTGGGCCTCCTGGCTGCTGCACCTGGTTTCCCTCTTCCCGTCTCACTTACCGTCCCCTCCCCATCTCCCTACATGTCTCAAGAGTCTCCCTTTCTTGAGAAGCTTTTTAAAAAATATATAATTTATTTTTATTTTGTGTGCATTATAGTTTTGTCTACATGTATGTCTGTGTGAGGTGTTGGATCCTGGAGTTAGAGACAGTTGTGAGCTGCCATGTGGATGCTGGGAATTGAACCCGGGTCCTCTGGAAGAGCAGCTCCAGGAGACTTTTATAGAGAACTTTCCAAACTTTTCAGGACCTGAAGCGTTCTTGAGCCTTCGGTCTTGAGGTACGCGGGTGAGGGGGCGGTCCAAAGTTTTTTGAAGCAGAGACCGGGAGCTTTTAAACACCGCATCCATGAAAACGTGGATCCTGGATTATGGAGACTAACTGCAGCGGGATGATTCTGGAGCTGCGCTTGCCATTCCATCTTTCCGGGTCTTCGGGAGAGCTCGGGGGCATAGATAGAAAACGAGGACCCTGGGGTGCACTGAGCGTCCCGCACCCCAGAGGCTGGTTGGAGTACATTGATGGGGACTTGTTTTGATTCTCGGAAGCATAAGGTGAGTCTTCTGGGCTGGCGGAGACTGGGGCGCCTGCTGGAGCTAGCTGAAGGACACCGCTGCTCTGCGCGGAAGCGGAGTGTAAGAGAAGACAATTTGCTGGGCCCTGGCAAAGAACCCACGTCTGCTGAGAGAGTCTAGAAACCCTGGTGCCGCGTTTCAAGTCAGAAACTGGTGTGCAAGCTAATCTGGCCTCTAAAAGCACCGGTGCCTTGGTTTCAGGGAGCAGGGAGGAGGAGCTTGGTATCCCGAGGGTGTGATTTAGTGCTCTTTCTGGCCGGGCCGGGGCGACAGTTCAGCTTGCTTTGCAAGGCCACAGGCAAAAGTCTCACTGCCCCCACTGTCTTGAGAACTGCTCCGTGGTACCTGGGAGCTCACCGAGAAACACTTGTTGATAGAATCTTGTGCCCAGCCAGTAGCAGTTTTGCCTTTTCCTGCGGTGGAAACTTTGTGCATTTAGTATATACTTTGGAAGAGCCTCTGCAGGAGCTGGCTTTGATTATCTACACGCAAGTTGTTTTTCAGGGCGTTTGTACCCAGCTAGGGCGCTTAATATGAGACTCATGTCGTATCATAAGATGCAGAACTTGTTCAGGACCTTAATGTCTTCAAATGTAGCTTCTCTTCTCTCAGATGAAGTGCAGCACTCCGCTCGCCAGAGATGCCATACTACAAACTCTAGTCTTGCATCTCTTTGGCCCACCATACTCTCAGATGGAGTTCTTTCAGGCAGGGCCTGGATTGATGTCTGACTTGAAGAAACAGCTCAAGTGTTTGAACACTCGAGTTTCCATCCCCCAATACAGACAGCACCATGGTCCCTGTCTTATACCTGTCTCTCAAATGCTTTCTGAGACCCTTATAGTGCACAATCGCCTGAGGTGTCCATGAACACAGCAAAGCCTCTGCTGGTGGCCTGCCAGGTTCTCCCAGCATCCCTCAGTCCCAGCCTGTTACAGGATCCATTTAGCTAGAATATTCCACCCCTACCCTAAACTTCTCCAGCCCAGGGGACTGGTCTAGGCTACCCTCCCCACTCAGCCATTTTGGCTGGGATAGCCCTCTTGGCCTCTTGGTCTCCCGTCTCTCCCCTCTCTTCTCTTCTCTCTCCCAACATGGCTCAGCCTGCCAGTCATGTTCACTTTGGACTCTCCCGGATGTCCTTGCTTCTGACTATGCTCTCCTCTTATCGACAGTAAACCCTCTGCTCCACCATACCAGTCATGTCCACTCTGGACTCTCCCAGATGTCCCTGCCTCTGACTGTGCTCTCCTCTTATGGACAGTAAACCTTCTCCTCCACCAAACCCAGGAGCAACTGTGTCCTCCTTTTATTTCTTGCTTCCATTCAGCAGCTTGGATCTCTTGCGCTCATTCTGGAGGCCAAGGCTGGAGAAGGCAATTTAGAGGCCAGCCAAGGCTATGTTGCCAGATGCTGTCTTAGAAAAGAAAAGAAAAGAAAAAAAACAAAATAGAAATCCAGAACCCCTCTCTTGCCTCTAAGCCAAAGACAGTGCATCAGATGACCAATAAGGTGAGTTAAAATTCTGAATTTGTAATAATTTGTCTGCTGGCTTCCTGCTAGATGGCAGTGTCTAATAGAGAATCAAAGGCTCCACTGTTACTGTGTTATTGCTCACCTTGTATTCTTCAAGGATCAAAGTGAAACAGTTTCCATGTTTGTTCTTATAAACAACATTCAGAAACCCCTCCTTAGGATTATATGTAGGAAACAAGAGGAAAAGGTTATAATTTGGTTCATGTTACATGTATGTATAAATTTGGCACCATACAGGAACCTTCCCAGCCTATATTTAAGTGCTTTTATACTTATGTAGAGTTGATTTTCCCAAGAAACTTAGCATCTCCCTCAACTTTCATCATTTTACATCAAGTGCCCTCTCCCCCCAGGCTCATGTCTGCACACTTGGTTCTCAGCTGATGATGCTGTTTTGGGACGTTGTGGAGCCTTTAGGAGGCATGGCCTCAGTGATGGAAGGAGGTGACTGTTATGCCCAGATTACCCCCAAAACCAACTAGGAGACCAAACTCTATTCTTATTCAAGTTAGAACTTGGACTCTCCGTCTGTCCAACTATTGGCATGATTGGAGAGCACCAGCGCAGTTGGGGGTTGAGTTTTTATAGTAGCAGACATAGGGGTGAGGAATTTCTAAGATTCAGGACCCCTGATTGGCTGACATTTGTCTAGGGGTGTCCTGGTGAAAAGAGATGGGTGTGTGCTGGCAGGTGATCCTATCTACAATGGTTGGGATTTCTTTTGGATGGTCTGTTACCGGGTGGTACCTGTGTGGTCTCAGTTTGTGGTTTTTATGGGAACCAGGTATTGCCTCAGGGTAAACTACTGAGACTCAAGCCTCTATTGAGCTTGTCATGGCTGGATCTCCAGGGACTGGGGTGAACTGTGAAGGTTATATTAGCTACTGGTTCTGATTTGTGGGAGCACTTACCACCTGGTATGCCCATTACCATGGAGGGAGCTATTTGATCCATCATCCTTCTCCAGCAGGATGAACTGAAATCCTTTGAAATGGAAAACCAAAGTAAGTCCTTCCTCCCGTAAGCTGCTTCTGTCAGGCTTGGTTTTCCTTACAGTGACAACAATTAGTGACTATAGGGAGCATTCCTGGAATGGGCTTTGGAAAAAGGAAACATTAAGCTTATTTTAATTTACATGCTTTCTAAACACTTTTTTAAAAAGCTTATGTAAAGCCTTAGTTTTCAGAAAGAAATTTCTGAATTACTAAAAGGGAAAATGGATCTGGGCACGCCTTTAATCCCAGCATCCTGGAGACAGGCACAGGGTTCTGTGTGAGTTCGAGCCCAGCCTGGTCTACAGAGCAAGTTCCAGGACAGCCAGAGCTACACAGAGAAACCCTGTCTCAAAACAAAACAAAACAAAACAAAAACCAAAACCACAAAAATAAAAGAAACAAAAAACAAAAAGGAAAGTAAAATAAGTTCAATCATGTAGGTCAGTGGTAGATCATTTGCCTAATTAGTGTGTTTGAAGTTCTTAGTTCAGTCCATGGCACCGCCTCCCCCCCCCCCCCCAAAGTCTTGGGAAATGTCTAGAATGTCTAGGATGGTACAAGAGGTACTGGTGTTCAGAGTTGAGTCAGCAGTACAGAAAAGGCAAGTTACATTCTGGGAGCAGCAGGAACATAGACCTCGAGGAGGAGACCAGGGAAGTAAGCTAGAGAAATAGAGTAGGGTATACATTCATGTTATTTTTCACTGTCAGGGATGAAGCACAGGGCCTTGTGTATGTGGGCAGGTGATCTACCAATGAGCTACAGCCCCATACTGGGCTCTTTTTAGAACCTTTGCAAATCATGCACAGACTTCAGTAAGATTTTCATTCTAGGACATTAATTTATACTTAGCCGAGTGCAGAATCCAAGGGGCTGGGGCTGGGAAGCCCAGTTTTGGGGCTTTGAGGGCAGTCACCATCAGGATAAATGAGGGGTCTTGATGTGGCATAGTTGAAAGGAGGCAGTAAAAAGTGCTTGAAAATAAGACACATTCCTGCCAGCCTACCATGTCAGTTCTTTCTAAGGATGGCCGCAATATAAGGGGTGTACTAGAGATTTTTGTTCGTTTGTTTTGTTTTGTTTTTTTCAAGATAGGGTTTGTCTGTGTGACAGCCTGGGTTGTCCTGGAACTCGCTCTGTCGACCAGGCTGGCTTCCAACTCACAGAGATCCTCCTGCCTCCCAAGTGCTGGGATTAAAGGCGTGTGCCACCATGCCAGTCATGGAGGTTTATGCAGTGCAAAGTGACAAGATCTCTTGGAGAACCAAACCTATTTGAGAAATTAGACATTCCTGTGACTAATTTAGGTTTGATAGTTAGATTCTTCTGAAACCCCTCTCTAGGGTTATATTTAGCCCATCGCTCTGAACTCCCCAGTTGCTAATGGAGACCAATCAGAAGAGTCTTTTTAGAGCTGTCTGTCTTCTGCCTCGCTTCCTTCCAGCCAATGGGAATAGGGAGGAGGAAGAGAGGAACACATTGAGGATCAGGATTTGTCATGGTCAGTTTTGATTGTCAGAGCCATGAAAGCATGACTTGGAAATGTCATGAGGATGTTTCCAGAAAGGTACTTTGGCAAGTACCACAACTAGAACAGTTTAGCTCTGAAATTCATGTCTTCTTTCCTTGTTTTTAATGTTAATGCTATAAAGGTCACACTAAATGATGCTATCACAGAGAACAAACAAGTCTGTAGAGAACAGTTGTCATCTGGTGGGGCCAAGGGGAAGGGAACAAAAGGCTCTAAGAACCTCGGAAGTGCCCTGCAGGATTCTATTCCACACATATTAATAGCTACTAGCTACATAAAATGTAGACCTAGCACTTTGAATCCCAGGTGCGGGTCTGTCATTCGGACTGTATAAATTTGGGGAAGTGGCTAAGTATTTCTGATCCTCAGTGGATTCACTTTAAGGAATAAATGTCATCCTTTCCCCTGCATGGCAGAGAGAGTATTAAACTTTCATTTTATGTGCAAAAGTAATTTAGTATAGCTATAATAATTAATATGACCCATATTAGGTAGTGAAATATTAGCATCTTAGATGAGACTAAAACTACACCACCTCAGACCAGCAAGATGGCTCGGTGTGTAAAAACGTTATCATGCAAAGCTGACAACCTATGTTTGATCCTTGAACTCGTGGTGGAAGACCAGAAACAACTTCCAGAAAGCTGTCCTCTGACCTTCACATGTACCCGCTGGCACACGCCGCCTCATTCACCCCACACCAATCACACACACAATCATATAAACCATTAAAAGTCAATTTAAGACTGTAACATTTTGCAAAGAGGTTTAAATCTGTCCCTTCGTTTAATATTACTTGGAACCACCTTGGAAAAACAAGGTAGGTATTACTAACTCCAGTTATTACAGAACTGAAGCTAAACCTCACTAAATTTAAGCAGTTGGCCGGGGATCATATTTTTAGCAGTAGGTTTAAATCAGGTCACCTGACTCCAAGATCAATAGAAAGGAAAGAGACACCAGAAACAGTGGTGGCTTTAGGACAGAAAGGTCGAGAGTAAAGGAAAACAGAAGGTAGAGATTATGAAACTAGCTCGGGATATATTTATAGCTAAGATCTCAGGACGGCTGGAGGGCCTTTTTGCAACGTTTAATCGGTCATATCAACTGCCAAAGAATAATTCAAGAGCACGCACAAATTCCCTTGCATGTAGAGAACCTCAAGTTAGTTTACTGCCAAAGCCAGGAGTGTAGGAAGGTGTCAGGAACCTGGCTGTGATTAAATATTCACCACTGAAGAGCAGCCTCCAGTATGTGAATTACACTCTGCAGCAACCTGCCAGGCCTTAGGGTGTATTTACAATAGTAGCACTCAATCTAACCCATGCTAGTCATTAGCCAGGAGCATGCCATCAAGTCCCAAGTCCTCCAACTGTGAGGACAGGTGGACCCACAGAGAGTACCATGAAAGCCCTCAAGCTCCAATGTAATGGCACCCCAAGAGAGGCAGGCTCCCCGTGTTTCTGTTTCATCTTTGCCTCCTGTGTGAACCTGAGTCATTCAGGACAATGCCCCATAATATTCTTTTCCAGGACAGAGGAATGTATCTGTTTATAGGCTGCGGTATAAAGCATCTAAAATGATCTCTAACTAACCAACTCCTAACTCTAAGAGGTGAGCTTCTGCAATGCATTACGTGCATGGCTGGTGTACACTACCCAGGGTTGCCCATCTCGTTGGTATTCGAGTATCTGTACTGGCCGGCTCTTGGGGTTCTCACAGATACAAGTCCTCAGCGGAAGCCACTAAGAGCACCTTCTGTGCACATTCACTACGTTCCCTTTAAAAGGGCCCTGCCCACCTTGCTTGCGTGCGCTCGCGAGCTCTGTATCTGTCTCCCCCCCTTCTGTTGCTCCTGTCCCCAGAGGCCAGTCTCCCTCTTCCCCCTCCCTCTTTTTACGTCCCACCCACAAAAAAAAAAAACAAACCTCTGTGGCATGGTGTCTTTCTCTTGTGCAACTTTTTTTAAAAATTATAACACATCTGCTGTTCAGAAGATGTGTACATCTATTACACATGTAATAGCAAAGCATCTATTAAGTACTCTTTTACCAAAATCAGCAGCACCATTGTCTTAAAATAGTTCCTACAGACTTAAGACTGAGTATCTCAAAGAAAGTTAGCAGATTGTAGGGTCCTAGCTTCAAATACTGGCTGTGCAGAGCTGGCAACTGAACCAAGGGGTGATTTCTGCCGTGTCCGTGATGAGGGTGATAAACCAGGGCCACTTGTGTGCTTGGCACACTGAGCCGTCTAACTCTGGAACAGCTACTTCTCTTGTGGCTGTAACAGGGTATGTGACAAAAGCAACTTATGGGATGTTTGGGTTTGGTTCATAGTGTGAATGTACAGTCCATCACAGGATCACATACAGTGTGAATGTA